ATTAGTATTACGAAGAAAACAGTATAATAATCAATGCAACTGTTCTCCTGAATGGAAAGAAAATTGCACAAATGATCCAGTAACGAAAATATTGCAATTAAAATTTTATTTTATAAATTTATAGAATAAAATAAAAATATGCCTATAGGAAGAGAAGGAGAAAAAGAAAGAGAAAGAGAGAGAGAAAGAGAGGGGAAGTTCTATATATTTATATAAATATCTAAAATATATTTATTACGTAAATGGAAATTAAAGGCAAGAAAAAATGTTATCATCTTGTCTATTATTAATCCAATATATTTAAATACAGCAATATATAATCTTAACTATCGCTTAATCTATAAGAGAAAAACACAATGCATCTTTATTGTACGTAAATTGAAAAGAAAATCTTTTTATCTGACACATCTTCACGTTTTTTACGAAAATCTTTTTTCTATCTTCAAATCTCTTAAATTTTAATTATTCTGAAATTTTACCTTTTTTATATTTTGTTAACATTTTTATATTTTATTAATACTCCCTCCTTTATTCATGATATTGAGAAACGATCAAAGTTTCTGTTAAATATATTTCAATATTACACTCCAATCCATAACCATGAGTGATAGCGTTACATTACTATCCACTCTTCGTCGTAACTCACTCACTTGTATCACTCGGATCGATATTATGATACGACTAATTTGAGAGCGAAAGCTCCATCAGACCGAGAATATTAATTGGCGGCACTAAATCATACGTCACTCCCGAAATATCTATTTTCCATTCTTAAATGACGTAAAATAACCTGCGATAAATATGAAGATGGGAAAATGGCGATAGCTTATCGTGCACGAGGTTTATCGCAATCACTCAAAAGATATTACGATAAATCACCGTCGAAATTAACCGTAGAAATCGCAATATTCGCCATTTTCCCGGCCTAACGTTCGGACTTTTTTTTGATTTATGCGCAATTAGTGGCGTCGTGTAAAACATAATTCTTACTTTAGGATCTCGAAAGAATTGATCATTACGTTGATAGACGGAAAAAACAGAGAGATAAAGAAAGAAAAAATTATTTATTATTCTAATTAAAATTCCTTCATGATATTATAAGAAAGCGAATGTGTTAGTTTACAGAACGATCTAAATCATTGTTTTATTAGATTGAATCAAATAATGTATGCAAGTATACGTATAAAGCTACAGAAAGAATTTTAATAAATTCTAAAATAAATTATATTTAGAGCGATTTTATTAGAGAAAAATATTTTTAACTCAAGCAAAAGTAAAACAATCAAAAATATTATTTATTTATTTGTATGATTTAATATTGCAAGTATTAGTTATTTTTAAGTAAAAAAATTAATTTGGACTAATGTGTGGGTAAAAATCAAAATTATTATTATTATCTATGCAAGAAAACAAGTTCAAATATGGTGAAAAAGGAAAAGAGAGAGCGAAAAAGAGAAAGCGAGAGAGAAAATCGTAAGAATAAGCTATAGATTGGCTTAGTTTTTATATACTTTGTTTTTATATATTTTACATGTTTTTATATTTTTGTTGCATGTATAAATAACGGAGGAAACATAAGATAAGATATTTGGCCTAATCATAAAAGAATGCTGTATGTGTGAAGTATGATATATCTCACAACTTGTAACGGGTAGCATAAAGTCCCACAAGCAAAAACATGCGCGAACAAAAATACGACATAACGTCGAAAAAAATCTCGGAGCATAAATATGAGCCTATAATGCCAAAAAAAAGAGAAACGTACAAACAAAAATTCAAGATCCAGACCATTTTTCATGCCAAGAATGCGAATTGAAAAAAAAACAGTGGAAAAATTATAAAGAAATACATGTTTATAAATCAAAAATCTTATATTATCTATTATAACACTTGCTATACAGATAGAATATATTTTTTTAATCTTTCCATTTTCTTCATATTTTATACATATCTACGTAAAATATTTTTCTCTTCTTTATATGTACATATAATTGTAAAAAAAATTTTTTCTTTCTCTCTTGTATAAAAAAATATTATATCTAAAATCCTTCTTCTATTACAAGTTTTTTAAAATTATAAGGACAAAACAAAAGTATTTTTTGCATTTTTATACGAATATATATATATATATATATATAAATTTGTATATATATATATATATATATATATATATATATATATATACAAATTTGACAGAAGATTCCTAATGCCTTCTCTCAATTTAAATAATCAAATTATCATCAAAATATTGTATGTATGTTTCAATGATATTGACGATTATGAACAATTATACGACATACAATTGATACCAGCAATTTATAAATAAATCGTGAATAAAATAACGCTTTTAATTTTCCGAGTTAAATATTTATTTTACCAGAAGTGAAAAATAAAGTTCACGTTACGGACGAAATGACGGAATAAGTAACATTTAACATGGAATATATCGAAAAAGCCAGCAATAGGTTTTGAATCCACGCAAATAGTAAAGGTCAGGCTCATGGGTTGTTCGTACGAAATTAAATTCAAGAAGATGCGTGCTTATTCGGTTTCAGTTTTTTTACCTTTGATACAAAAATTTCCTAATTCTCTTGTCAAGTTATCCTTGGAATCTCATGTTTTTACGTTTTTCTTCTCAAGAAGATTAAAATATAAAAATAGAAATATAATAATAAAAATCTAAAATCTCTACAGATCCAATCTCACATCAAAAAAAATCTAATCTCGTTTCTCAATCAAAACCTCATCTCTGATTAATATCTTTTTTTATCAACATTTAATTTTTTTATTTAATTTTTTTGCAAGTTCCTGTGCAATCGGCAGAGAATATACAGCTTCTGTTTACGCGTTCCCCCAGTTTCGACTATAGTTCACGTTACCCAATTTGAGAACTTTCGGTAGCGCATATGAATGAACAGGTCGGCGGAACATACAATTCGCGGATTTAAAGCCAGTGTGCGTGAACGTGATGAGGAACGCGAATTGCGGATAAATTCTACACGAAGTCAAGTGGCCACGAAGAATAGGAGAAAGAAAGGGAGAAGCATAATGCCGAGGATCGAAAGGAGAGGAGAGGAAAGGGCCGGTACAAAACGAGAGTGCGCAGGCGGCACTCACTGCCAGGGTCACTCTAGTCGCACTCACGACTACTCCGCATCGGCGCGACGTGACGCGCCGCGACGCTACGATCCTCTTCTACTAGTTGGACGCACTCAGTGCGCCGCGAGAGCGCTCCGAAATCGCGTGTCGATCTTACGTCTCCTGCTGAAGCGAGGCAACCGAACCGCACTGTTAACCGTACCGAAGTGAGAGACCAGTGACAAAGGAATTTCGAGCATAAGGACCATAAAATGAATAAAAGGAATAAAAAATTTAAAAAATAATAACTAGCGGGAAATAGTGCTATTAAAATCTTTGATCTCTGAGAAAATCCACCAGTAAACATCATGTAAATTATTGAGAAATGATTATCAATAATGTTATTAACAATTGTGGTTCATGATAAAATAATAAATAATTTAAATAAATAACAAGCAAAATCGCACTGTTAATCGTACCGAAGTGAGAGACCAGTGACAAAGGAATTTCAAGCATAAAGACCATGAAATAAAAAAAATAACATTTAACAATTAGCAGGAAATACATCTAGTGCTATTGAAACTCTTGATCTCTAAGAAAATCTATCAGTAAACATCATGTAAATTATTGAGAAATGATTATTAATAATGTTATTAACAATTGTGGTTCATGAGAAAATAATTTAAATAAAAAACAAGCAAAATCGCACTGTTAATCGTACCGAAGTGAGAGACCAGTGACAAAGGAATTTCGAGCATAAGGACCATGAAATAAAAAAAATAACATTTAACAATTAGCAGGAAATACATCTAGTGCTATTGAAACTCTTGATCTCTGAGAAAATCCACCAGTAAACATCGTGTAAATTATTGAGAAATGATTATCAATAATGTTACTAATAAGGCAATTGTGGTTTATGATAAATAATAAATAATTTAAATAAAAAGACTATTAATAATTCAATAAAAGGATTATCAACAAAGTTATTGATATAAATATAATCAAGAAAAGGATTGTTAAAAACTGATAATTATACTCAAACTTATTAATATTAATATTAATAGAATTAATATGATTCACAATCACAGTGATCAGTAGTTTCAAAACAGTTTACAATCGTGTCTGGTCTCCGACAAAATCAATACCAGCCAGATTAATAGTGTTATCATGTTCAAGACTGTTAATGATTGCCATACTCGAGCTTATATGTATATTTGTCGAATTGATAAAAATCTTATTAATATATAATGATTAGCAAAATTATCAATAAAATAAATCAAGTCGATCAGTGTGAGATATGATTAATCAATAATATCTTGGAAATTGTAAATTTTTCTAGCAATCATGATCTCTAAGCGTTGATATAAATTTATTTAATGCCTTTATTTAATAAGTCTTTAATAATAAATATCATAATTATCAACGTGTAAAGATGTGAATTAGTGAAATTGAGTGACGTGAGTTGATACTCGCATGTGTTTACATGTTTTCGAGAAAGGTTGTTTTATCTCTCCTTTTCTCTTTTGGGGAGACGGCATGATTCATTGACGAAGAAACGAGAATTTCAACAATTGTTACAGAAATAAATCAGAAATCAAAAAATAATTAATTTCAAACCTGATCTTATCCGAGACGAAAAAAAAGTGGATATAATCGCTCGAGTGTAACAGATTTTTACATTTTCCTTTAATTGGCAGAATATTTATATTAATAAAGAGTCGTATTAAAATTGATCTTGCTTAAAGCATCTTCATGCTTGGATTAAAACTCGATTTCCTTTTTGATTAAAGGAAATTATATGACTATAATTTAAAAAAAAACAAATTAATTTCCTTCAAACATTATTAATTAGTCCAAAATTTTCTTGAAAATTGAGAAATTGGTGACTAATACTGATAAAATTAAACACGTAAGCTTTTTGAATAAAAATATAGAATAAAAAATCTGTGAATTGGATTAAGTGATATGAATCAGTGATTGGCGTGCTACGTGCATTTCTATGAAATCCTGTTTGAAGAAAACAAAGTGATTCATCGATGAACAAGACAATATCTTGAAACGTGGAATTCTCTCGAGAGGTTTTTCAAATCTTCACAAATAGTGCATCGATAAAAGCAAATTCACCGATAATTCTCTCTTGCCGTCGACGCACTGAATTATGATTCATCCCGACGTCGCGGAAGTGACGCGAAATATCCCTCTCGCGTGTTTATGCAAATCGTAGTGATAAAAGCAACGCGATGACAAAAATCAGGTGCAACGAGACCAACGAGAAGACTAACGACAGGTGATTAAACAGGTGAATCCCGGGCCGAGATTTCGCGAGGGATCGCAGTCGCGTTTGCACGGATGACATTCGTTTATTAATAGTTCCACAAATAAAATTTCGCGACGACTCTACGCGAATAGCACAGTAATTTTGCGAACGGATAATATGCAACGCTATCACGAGCGAAAGTTCGGAGCGATCGAATGCGAAATTCGCAAAAATTTCAGGTATTTTATCTTGTTTTCTGCAATTTTATTTACGAGTTTTAAATATGTTATTTCGATATATAAAATTAAATATTTTTACGAATTTTTTTATTATGCGTATCAATAAATTTACAAAACATATTTAAATAAAATTAACAAGTTTCATAGTTAATTCGAAAAAAAGAATCTTTTTTAAATAAAATTGCAAATTTATAAAGTAATTATTTTTTGTTTTGAATAATAACATTGTATGATTTAAAATATATTCTCTTTATATGTGTTGAACGTTTATTGTAGAAGAAAGCAAAAGCAATTTTTTATTGGCAGTTCGTAATGACAGCTTTAAGGATTTCAACCTTTAAACCGATGATTGAACCTTCTTATTTAAATATGTGTGGAAAAATGACGTGAAAGGAACCGGTATATGAGACAAGCTGCTTATCTTAATATGAATTTATATGCAGATATTTATATTAGGTAATATATATTAGGTATTATACAAACTCCTGCGCTATATATTATAGGTAATATGCATATCTGCATATTTTGTGATTATATTGGAAGATATGGCATTCTTCTATAAAATTCATGATTATTTCTTTATAAGAAGATCTAATGTATTTTCTTTAGGATATAATAAAATTTTCTTAAGATTTAATAAAATATATTATAAAATACGAATATATATGAGATACAATGTACGACACAAATATATAATGCCAAAAATAACTGACACACAGAATGATATAAAAGATAGAATGCATGATCATAAAGGCCACAAATAAGAAGAAGCCATTTTCCATTCTTTGACGAATTAATGTGCTATGCAATTAAGGCGATAATATATAATATGTTCTAAAGCTTCTATCTAAAGTAGAATTTCTGTCTAGACAAACAGAAATGAATTTTTAAAACTTTATTATTATAGAAAATGCCACTGATGCTTTATTAAAGATCGGCAATTCATTTTTAAAAACTGAATTTATTATTATTAAGAAATAAATTATTATGTTGAAAATTAATATATTAAAAAAAATAATAGAATTATATATATTATAAAATTTTAGTTTTTGTGCATGTTGTTTTTAAAATTAATATTTTTAATAATGATAATAAAGCATTTTACTTGGGTGATATAACGCTTTTCTTTTTGACTGCAAAAATTAATTCATCAAAGATTCTGGTTTGAAAAATAAACTCGATTATATTATATCACACTGCAAGACGTACAATATCACTGATGTACTTGCACCAATGTTTTAAATCAGTAAATTATTGTAGAGATAAAGTTTTGGAATTTTAAACTGCTAGAATTTTAAGACAAAAGAAAATCTTTCTGAAATAATCTACCAGTAATATCCAAGTCAAATTACGATGGAGGATGGAAAATTCAATTTAATGGATTGATATAACATTTATTTTACGCCATAGTTTATGATATTTTTAAATAAAATTTTATCCATATTTTTAATATACTAATATATAAATATACACACACAAAAGTAAAGCTAATGATAATTAAATTAATTGATAATAGAGGAAACTTATTGATAATAAAAAAATGGAGACAAAAGGAGTAAAATATCATAGACAAATTATAATTTCTTTCCAAAGAAATTTTATACAAGAATATTTTTAACGCAACAACTTTGATTTTCTTACAATCTCATATTTTTTATTTGTGCGACATAATTGTAATTCTTTGTTGCTATATATATATAATCATTTTTATAACTTAGATGTATTTTTTTAAATCTAAGTTGTAAAAACAATTAAAGCGGCAGTGAGTTTATTAAAAATACAATATTATTTTAAATAAAAATTTTTTCTTGTTAAAAATGATAGCAAACTTCCATGACCTTTGAGATGAGATGAGATTTATCGCATTCTCAAATTGCGCGATGTAATGAGACATTCGGGAAATGAACGTCTCAAGCGAAATTGAATTATGAAGCAACGGAAAAAAGCAGTAAGATGCAAAGGCACAATAAGGGAATTGCGAATTCATTAAAAATACTGTAATTTTTTATTTTACTTTTTTAAATCTCCATTGTTTCGCATAATAAAGCAATATAAAATGAGGTAAATCTCGAACGAGAAAAAAATGTACAACGAAAAATTACATGAATAAAGAAGATTTAAAGCAGATATAATGAATGATATCAAATTCACAATTAAAAAGTCACAAACAATCGCTAGAAGGACAAAAGATTGTACCTTTTATTGCAAGTGCTAAAGCTAATGTTGCTTGATAACACGATATTCGAATTAATCATGATAATTAAGAGTTTTTTCTCTATCTGTAATGCATTCCACACTCGATCTTAATTTTAACAAATATGTTGCAAGACAAAAATTTAATTTAATTTTAATTAAAGAAATATAAACTAATAATTGAAGATAAAATCGATTAATATCTGACTTTGATCAAATTGACTAATAAAATTAATAAGCAATTATGATTATTATAAACAATTATTACTATCTATCAATTCTCCAAATACGGAATTATCTTCTTTCTAGCTGAATTAATTTTTAAAGCATGAAGATTATTATAATATATTTATCCTTTATTAAAGTAAAATTAATGTATTTAGTAAGAAAATTTTATATTTGCGCTCTCAGTTCTTTCTCTTTTCTTTTAAAATAAAATTCTAATTTCTAATTATTGGTAATTATTGATATTTCGCTTCGAATGACAGTTTGCTATGGCAGTTGTTCTTTTCTTTCCTATATAAAAACTGTGATTAAACCGTTCGTCCGAGATTGTAGACGAAAAACGCTTAATATACCATAATTAAGAATAATCAATGACGTAGCTGACCTTTAGAGACTGCAATAAAGTAGTTTTCTCTAAGGACTTATAGTTCATAAAGACTATTCATATACCCTTTTAGATTATTATCCGTCAGGTAGACTGGTTACCATATAAATAGTTAGCTATAGAGCCGGACCATTTACGCGACAGCAAATCAATATTTACGATCAGATCGATACAGTTACACAAATGCATCGGCAGTTTTTTAATTAACTATAATTAACTATAATTGGTTTGATTCTCTTTTCAGATCAGAATTATAACTGTGAGAATATTCTGCGATGCTTGCATAAAATTTTTGTATATTTATCAATCCTGATAACTAAATTTCAAGTAAAAATTTTATTCAAATAATCTATTTTAAAAATTAATCGCATAAAGTTTGTGCATCGTATTTCTTGCTTTCTAATTATGTATTTAAAATCTTTAATAATAAGTAATTCTACAGTGGTGCTGTATCTTTAAAATTTTTTAAATAAAACTTATACTTCGGTATTGTTCAAAAATTTGAAAAATCATTGTATAAAATATATATTTTATAAATATATATTTTATAAATTATATTTTATACAATATATAAGTCTACAAAATTTGGAAGCATAATTATTAACATTTCTTTAGGAAAAACATTTTTATATTTTTAGAACATCAAATTCTATCATTAAAAATTGATTTTATCACAAAAAATATTTTTAAAGTTAAAAAATATAATACAATAAAAATAGATCATATATCTAATTTGACACGTAATTAATTTATATACTTATCTCTGGCGTATTTGCTAATATGAAGAATATTTTACAAGAAAAAATTAAGGGAAACTTATCTCATCACACCAAATTATATTGTTGCTGCCATGGTCGTTCGAACATCGTTTCCCCGGAATTTGATTAGCAAGTTGAGCGCTATCTAGCCATTTTAAACTTTATAATGATTAATTAAAGAAGACTTAATCATTGCGCTTTTATTAAATTGTCGTAATTGTGTTGACAATAACAAAATAATCATAAACTATAGAGTAAATAAGTTGTAATAAATAATCGAAAAATATTTAATTTTCAATACAACTTTTGTTTAATTAAAAATTAAAATTGAATATTCGTAACAACAAGTGCGTAATAGTAACTATTTTTATTGTTGGTATTTATTTCAACATTTCAATTTACGTAATAGAGTAAAAATTATATAGATATTGTAGGGTTTCTAAAATTCAAATGTTTAAAGTCTTCTAATAAAAAAGTATTATAAATAATATTTTTTTAAATTGCATTAAATTTTAATGGTATATTTATCATTAAAAAATATAAAATTAATTTTCTTCAATTAATAAAATTTTAAGGAATCACTCATTAATCAATCTTCAATATGAATTTTTTTTAATTATTATTTTAATTATTATTTTAATTATTATTTTAAATTTTAAAATGAAATAAAACTTATGAGGATTTTGATAAATAACTTTTAATTAAATGTAACTTAATATTTATGTAAAGATCTTTGCTATGGAAATATTTTTTATCTGCGAATTCTTTTTATAGTAGTTTTCGTTAAATGCGCATTTATTACTTGTAATTTTTCTTCAGAATAAAATTAATTCGTAATGTATTAAATACTAACTCATTTATCACGACTGAATGACAGGTCGACCTTGTAGATTTGGACCGACAAATTAACGCGAAGGCCGATCATGTTCAGTGCAGAGTAATTCGATCGCGTTTCAGAGTAACTCGCTCACGGTCAAATTTAACCCCATTTTGCACGCAATCTGCTCGCTAAATTCACGAAATTGTTTTCCTGACATTCTCCTCTCATGACAATTAAAATGTGCAAATTGGGATCGCACGATTAATTTATAACCAAATCAACTTAAATCAATTCAATCACAAATCCATCGTTGCATTCTCGTCAAATTGCATCATTATCATCGTATACTCGCCGTTGCCTCCTCGTCGAATTATTCCATTGTTTCGAATTACTCAAGACACTCGCGAATCGAGCCGAAAAGCATGTCTAATTACTTCGTTAATTAACGAAGGATTAAGATCACGGCACTCCCGACACGCAAGCGATGCATTTTCAACGAAGGAATAGCACGATGCATCCTTGTCGAAAAGATGAATCGATTTAAAGCATGATTTAAACGTTCGACTAATTATCGCGCAGATTCTTAACGCATTAACTTAATCGTCTATCTCGTAATATA